GGTGCTTTCACTTTTACTTTGTAAATAGCTGCACCAGGTCCAACATTTGTGACTGTCCTCTTGAATTTCTGCTCCAACCAAGCGTAGTCCCCATTTGGGACATAGAGAGCAATAAATGATGGGTAATTGATATCATCGGATGGATTTTCACAGTTGTGTTTAGCTGATGATCTAGCTATTGTCTTGAACTGCTTTGCTGTGAAATTCATGGAGCAGAGAAGATTCACGTAGTCTTGTGGAGTTGCATCATATATCAGGCCTGGATCAACTGCTCGGTTTGGATCAACAAGTCCGGCTCCCATGGATAAAGATGTAGCATAACTGGTTCTGAGGTAATCAATCGTTTTGATGGGTTTTTCAGTATTATCCAGGGGATTTGCAGTGGTCATCATGGCAGATCGAATAGCGGAAGGACTCCAATCAGGATGTACTCCTTTTAGCATTGCAGCAATTCCGGAAATGTGAGGAGCAGCCATTGAAGTGCCTGAAAGAAGACTGTAATCACTATTCAAAAATGTATTGACACCAATGACTGCAGCTGAAGTGTTCGATGGCCAGGCTGCTAAAATTAACTCCCCTGGTGCCATAATATCTGGCTTTGCAACTCGTAGATAGCTTAGAGAGGGGCCTCTCGAGGAAAATGCAGAAACAACTGGAGCAGGCTTAACAGAAAAATGTGTTTCCTGTAAACTGATGCTGACTTTTGGTTTAGCACTTGTTTTAGCATAGTCTACCACCTTTTTCCAATCCTTACTGCTGATTACAGCTCCAGGAGTCGTAAAATAGTTGGATGACAATACATCCGGATCTCCATAAACATAGAGTGCGCCTCCAAATTTTGCCTCTGAGATTGCCCCCATTTGATCAGAGACTGACAAGTCTTCCTGTGCAGTGCTATAACAAATAGTGATGCTACGTGCTTTATTAGGGACTAAGGCTAAATCATCAGATGAATCACAAGTGGAAAGGCTTCCATTGTAAACCAAATCAAAATCCTTGATGTTGGTTTTCACTGGAAACAAGCTAAATCCAGTAATCTTTAAGCCATTCCCTAAAGTTATAGTCCCGGAAAATGATCGGTCAGTACTGCCTGATGCCACAGTAAAGATCCAGGGGAATCCATTGGATAAAGTTCCCATTTCAGGACCATTATTCCCAGCTGAAGCAGAGACTAACACACCCTTCATCATGGCACCAAAAGAAGCTATTGCAATAGCATCTTCATACAGAGGACCAAATCCATACCCATAAGAAATTGATATTATGTCAACGCCATCTGCAACCGCTTGGTCCATAGCAGCAATTAAATCAGAAGTGACGGTCCCTTCTTCAAAGCTAAACTTATACACAGCAAGCCTAGCTCGTGACGCAATACCTCTTGCTGTTCCAGGAGCATATCCAAAATATGAAACTCCTTTTACAGGACTACCAGCAGCAATGGAAGCAACATGAGTGCCATGACCTCTCGTATCTCTTGCAGAATTCATGGAGAGGACGATAGTAGGATCGCTAGCCAAAAGCCCCTTATTGAAATAATTTGCTCCAATGAGTTTCCTGTTGCACAATGAAGAATTGAAATCTGTTCCTGGCTTGCAAATTCCCTTCCACTTTTTTGGTATTGCAGATAGTCCATCATCTCTGAAACTAGCAGATTCTGGCCAGACACCAGTGTCGAGTACACCGATGATCACATCTTCACCAAAACCAGACGCCGGCCATAGCCCTGAAGCAGGATTGAGCTTAAGAAACTCAGGGGAATGTGTAGTGTGAGCTTCAACAGGCCTGTCTTTATAAGCTGAAAGAAAGCCTGGCGACTTCTTGAGTGCTTCGAGTTCATCTTTAGACAACACAGCACTGAAGCCATGAAAGACATTGTCATAAGAATAAAGAAGCTTTGGAAGTGGATGGTGGGTATTTTGTGTAGTGGGAGCTTCAATCTTGATGGTATCAATAATGTAAGAATGCCAGTTTTGGTGAGTCGCAAAGATTTTAGGCATAAAAGACTTATCCAAATGGACAATGTAAGTAGACCTCTCAGCTGAGATTCCTAAAAACAAAGAAAGAAACAAAGAGAAGAGAAGAAAAGGAACTATTGTCTTCATAGTTATATCTCTTTATTTGTGTTTTCCAACTAAGACATAGCCTCCTTTTATACACACTCTAAGAAACAGTCATTGTGGATTAGCTTCAGATTTTCAATGGATGGTCACTTTAATAATATTACCAGTTTCAGTCAGTGGACCTATAGCCACTTTTGTTAATGGAAATTGAATTAGACATGTACTATACAAACAAGATTCTTGTACATTCAGCAATTTATTAGTATTAGAAGTGATAGATTGAGGCTATAATATATGTTAATCAAAACAGTTCTTCAAGTAATAGAGGTTATATATTAGACAAATATTATATTTCATTGTCATGATTTTGTGACATTAAACAAACATAAACTTGAAAGTTTTAGACTAAGTTGAATTTGGTGGACTTGAGTTGAGAGTCTTTTGGAAATATCTCTATCTCCACAAGGTAATGATAAGATCTGCGTACATTTAATCATTCCCAGAATCCACTTGTGGATTTCGCTGGGTATATCTCTTCAAAAAAGTACTTTGAACTTACTAAGAACAATATCATATGCTTATCTTTAAATGTCTCAAAAATCCCAAAAAAGTATTTCATTTAATCAATTCACCACCACTACCCAATCTCTTTCTTTTGTGTAAAAGATTCCATAAACTTTTTGTCATCACCTCTTTTTTGTCCTTCAAATGTGATACATTAGAAACACATTTTTGATATGGTGATAAAAAAAAATATTGTCATTTTGATTTAATTATTTGGAGGTGGGTTCATACTTTTCTAACTTATTATCCATGCCAACTCACTCATTCCCCACCCCTCTATGAATTTTGTACTGTTTCTTACCCCTAGTTCATGTATAATCATGATCTGTTTACTTTTTATCACTTCTTCTAGTGTTACTTTTGATTAAAATGTTGATTATGTTAACCCTTGAGTGGACTCTTTCACTTTTGAAATCTTTGACTGGAGCTAAAATATCAATGAAAAAGGTGTAGTTACATCCAACAACAACATAAAACAATGTAATATCCCATGCAAGGAGTCGAAGAGGATAATGTAGTAACATATACGTAAATCTTACCCCTACCCCTACCTTACATGCACTAAACTAATAGGAGGATGTTTTGTTGAAACCGGTGAATTGATCTTCATCCTTTGGAAGTACCTTACATCTACTGTCAAGGAGTTCAATGTACTGTAACTTTGTTCAGTAAGCATTTCATCACCTGGTGTCTGGGATTCCAAGTTATATTGTTGGTGTTTGTATTAAGTATATGAACTCAAGATATGTGTCTAGCACATAAACTTTCCTCTCTATAGGATCGTAGACCGTTTAAGTTTCTAATCTCCTCGTATAAATTTTCTAAACATATTGTTTGTTGGCTAAAGGGAAAAGGTTGACTCAATGCCCAGAAAATCTTTTGTTTCATATCTTGAGGATCTTTACAACAAGCCTTACAATATTCAGTTGTTACATTAGATTTTTCTTATGCAGCCATAGATTCTCCTTGAAGTTAACAAGTGGATATACATCATTGTGATATCTGCAAAAACATCTAATGACTTTGTTCCATGTAGCAACAAAACATTAAATGATCAACAACAGTCATTGAGGATTAATTTCAAATTTTCAATCAATGATGGTCACTTTAGTAGTATTATTACTAATTTCAGTTAGTGGACCTATGGGCACTTTTGTTCATGGAAATTGAAGTGGACATGTACTACACAGACATGATTCTTGTGCATGCACCAATTTATATGTGAAGTGATAGATTGAGGCTAAATATATATCTATCAAAGTAGTTATTTGAATAACAGAGGTTATATAAGAGACAAACATTATATTACAGTCATGAATTCATGATTTTTTGACATGAAACAAACATAAACTTGAAAATGTTAGACAAGTTGTGGATTTGCTGTCCTTGAGTTTTTCGAAAACAATTTCTCAATGTAAAATATACCCTCTCCAGAACACAGTTGCGTGATTTCAATAAGTATGTTTCTTTTTTAAAAAAAGTACCTGGATTATTTCTCAAAAATATCTTTCTCCACTCACATAACAGTAAAAAAAATTTACAAAATGAACAATATCATGTGTTTCTCTTGCAATGTCTCACAAAATCCCAAAAAAGTGTTTCGATTGGTCAATTCACCAGGACAACCCTATCTCTTCATTTGTGTAAATAAATCTTGTCATCACATCTCTTTTGTCCTTCAAATATGATACAATACAAACACATTTTGTACATGGTGATAAAAGATATTGTCATTGATTGGTTAATTGGAGAGAGGTGTGTGGGTGTGTTTGGCGGGGGGGTCATACTTTCTAACTTATTATGCATGCCAACTGACTCATTCCCCACCCTTCTATAAATTTTGTATGTCTCCATAGGATTTAGTTCATGTAGAAACATGATTTGCTTACTTCTATGATCCATCACTTCATCTAGTGTTACTTTTGATTAAAATGCTGATTATTTGTGGAGAAAATGTCAATGAAAATGGTGAAAGTAGTTGCTGCGTAGATCTTATCCCTACCTTCCAGAGACTACTAGTTTTTAGTATGTGACTACATCAAGGGAAAGGGGGTGTTTGGAAGTTCAATTACTCTATAAACTTTTTAGTCCCAAGTTATATTTATGTGACAGCTTGGGATTGTCACCATTAATGTTTGCATAAAGCAAATGACACAGGAGACATTATCATGGATAATGTGATACAAGTCTCATGTGCCATTCTTCAAATCATCATTCTGAAGAACACTAGTAGGAAACTTCTTCCCCATCCAATACAGAAAATGTCCATTTTCTCAAAGCACAAGTATTTTACGACCTAAAATACATGCAATTTCTGTTCTTTAGTTCTCTTACCTTTATGTTGTGGTTGTGGGGGTTTTGAGAAGCAAGATGGTGTTAGGTAACAACAGAAATGAACCAAAATTTCAGTGCAATGTGACTACATTAAAGATGGTTGCTCACAAAGTACATACTCAAGAAAACTAGAAGTCCATGGCAACAGTATCTTGGCAAAATGGCAAAATTAAGATCTTGGTTTCTCCTTCTTCTCCTTAAAGAGAGCCAAGAGAGAAACACCAGAAACCTTCACAACTTTGAACCTGACACCAGGAATATCTCCTACAGCATGACCCTTTCGACCAAATCCTGCAATCAACACCTCATCCTGCAAAAACAAGAATCAATGTTAAGAACTTGAAAAAACTAACATCAAAATCTTGTTTTCTGTGGCTAGATATGTGGAAGAAAAGGACTCACGTTTTCTTCGATGTAGTTCAAACAACCATCGTTAGGAACGAATGCAGCAATCTTCTTCCCATTTTTGATCAATTGAACCCTAGCACATTTACGAATAGCAGAATTGGGCTGCTTAGCCTCAATACCTCTGCAAAAATCATTTCAAATTGTTTTGATTGGTTAAATGCAAGGGCCAAAAACCAACAAGGCTAAAGAAGAACAGCAACAAAAAACTCTACAAGAGAACTTACATCTTCTCAAGAACAATGCCTTTAGCATGGGATGACCCAGCAAATGGCTTCTTCCATTCATTTCCAAGATGGGACTTCTTGTAGGACTTGTCAGCCCACCTCTGTCTTCTACGGTGGGACTTCAGCTTGCGTCCAGCTCCCATACCACGTGTCTTCCTGAAATTTTTACCCCGTTGAGTGATAACATCACAAACAGAACTATGCTTGTGTATGCTCTCTCACTTTAACTAATATGTTCCCAAGTACTATTGGAAACATCTCTACAATTACTCAATTTAAGGCAATAAAAAGCCAAGGAATTTCATTTCCACCACAGCATGGACAAAATATCTACCTACACAAACAATGATCTTCTGTATCAACCCCCATATGCTAAGCATCATAGAATTCGTCACTATAATCATTCCAGAATTTCTGAACATAATACGCCATCTCCTTGTATAACTGTACTTAAAACAACTACATAAATAACACTTAAATCTGCTAATTTCACACATCATCGATTCATGCAACAGATACACACTGTTCCAATAATCTCAATTTCCACCATTACAAATAACACTGATATCATTTTTATTTTATAAGTATTACAATTACATTCTTCTAACAATCATATACTTGTAATTTTTCAAGTTCAACAATAACAACACACGCAGTGCAATAATCCCGAGTGTGAGCAGACCTTACCTCTGCCCCATGAGAGGTAGAGAGGCTGTTTCCAAAAGACACTTAGCTAAAGTTCCAAATTTCTCAAGTTCAGCAATTAATACATATTGGACATCAAAACGCTATAATTCGCATCAGCTAGTTTACTCATATAACTTATCCTATATAATTCAAAATATAAACTTTTCAAACAGACAACTAATAGTATCAAAATGCTAAGATATTATGCAGAAGAAAAAAAACAATATCAGGAATCCGATTAACAGGGGATGAAAAACAGTATATAAAGTTTTTTTAATAATGCAACATATAAAAATGATCAAAGAAGAAAAAAAATAAATCGTACCCCATGTTTGCTGAGTGAAGAGAAACTCAAACTTCAAAATTAGGGTTCGAGAGGTTGAAGAAGAGAAGAAGCAGCCATACGTAAAACCCTAATCCTTATAAACAGCTATCAAATTCTAATGTATTGAATTGGGCTGAAAAGCTTTGGGCTTGAGGAAATATTTACATTCGCTAGCCAAAATATTATAGGAAACTAATTGGGAAAATTTCATATATGGCAAACTTATTAGATTAAATAACATTATATGGGTATAGTTTACCTAATTACATAATATGGGTATAGTTAAGTTATTAAAGGTGTCTTTAATTTTGTATATAAATTTTTTTATTATTATTTATACAATTCTATTTTAAAAAGTTGTTTGTAACTGAAGCATTAAATATGGTAACAATAAATCAAGATAATGCCACAATTTTAGGGAAACGTCCCTATTTTCAAGCCATACGTTCAAATTCAAAAAAAAAAAATTCTGTTTATAATAAGTCATGTACAAATTAATTT